GGAGAGGGAGAGGGAGAGGGAGAGGGAGATAGAGGGAGAGGTAGAGGGAGAGGTAGAGGGAGAGGTAGAGGGAGAGGTAGAGGTAGAGGGAGAGGTAGAGGGAGAGGGAGAGGGAGAAGGAGAAGGAGAAGGAGAAGGAGAAGGAGAAGGAGAAGGAGAAGGAGAAGGAGAAAGAGAAAGAGAAAGAGAAGGAGAAGGAGAAGGAGAAGGAGAGGGAGAAGGAGGCAGGACTGGGAGTCACCTGTATGCTTGTTTGGAGAGACTAGGGGGTACCAAGGGAATGGGGGAAAGGTGGTACTTGTGAGGGGGAGGTGTGCATGCCATACATTATCAGAATTCTTATTTAATCCTTTCTGACTTCCTTCACATGTAGATAAGCCAGGGGAACAAGACCACAATGCATTTGTATGATTAGATCAGGGCAGTGAAGGCATGCAGAGTACTAGCACTAGTCCCATACACATCTCTCCATCCTACTGAAAGTGAAAAGAATGAGGGGAAATTGCCTGTCAGTCTGATGAGAGGCTGGGTTCATGCAAGCACCCTTAGATCAGATGTATAAAGAAGAAAAGTTACCTTATGGAGTGCCTGCCGGAATTCAGGAATTGAGGATCCCATGATCAAGTGGGCACTGGAGTTTCAGAGTTTTGTTTTATGCATTTGCTGTGTTAGAAGTGAATTTACTAAATATTTTTGCTAAATATATTATTGCTTCTGTATATGTATATCTTTAATGTCAGTTTTCCCCCTACAGTAATAATAATAATAATTTTTAAAAATCAGCATTTACAGACTACTCGGGTACAAACTAACCTTAGATATGTGGTAGTGCAGATTCTCAGAAACAGAAAGGAACATAAAAGAAAGGAAAGTAGAAGAGGAGTGGCAGTGACAACACTATGTCATTAATTATGGCAAGTCTCTTATTCTCACTTATCCAAGCTAAGTAATTTAGCTGAGACAACAGAAGAATTTCATGAAGAGTGATATCTTTATTGTACTTTGATGACCTCAGAGAGTCCTAGAAGCAGTACTGATGTAATTTGTTTGTAGGAGTAAATAAGACAAAGGAAACAAAATATTAATTGAAAAGACATAAGGTACGATGACTATTATGAGTCCTGTCTTTGTGTGCACAGTTAAGAAGAGATTTTTTTTTGTGTGATTTGCATCCAGAGGAATTACTTTTATAGTGCATTTCTGTTATCGAGAAGAAGTGTCTTGTATGTATATTTTAGTTAAAGTTTGTAGTACTGGTTTATGATTTTGTTCATCACGTCTGCAATTATATTCAGAAAATATACATTACAGGTTTGTCAGAACCTACCACTTCACTTTATATTTATTTTGAGTTTAATGGATACTTTTTCAAGGTATGTATCACAAGGGTTTAACTAAGCAGATTGTAATGACATGTTCTGTATATAGTGTGCTGGGGAAAGCATGAATTAGACCTTTATTGTTGTAAGTGTTAGCTTTTCTGTCTTCTGTGGTTTAATAGAGAAAGGCAGCAGGGAACCTAGATTAGATTATATGCAGTAATAAGGACAAAGAGGATTAGGTGTTAAAAGAGAGAGATTTATCAGTTTGTTGGCTGTTTTTTAAAAGTCACTTCACTGCACTGGAGCAAATAAGGAGTCACACATCTAATTTATTCTGTAAAATGCATGAACGGTCTTACAATATGGGAAATACTCATCACCTTCTTGGTCTTGAAATGTCTTCATTTGATAATACATTTCTTTATTAATGGACATTGTAGACCGAAGTGGATTGATGGCAGAGGCGCCTGGTCATATTTCCCCAAGTAATAATATAAACAGTGATAATAATGATGCAATAGAATAATTATATTAGTAAGTAGAAATTGTAGTATTATATATGTTTTATATGATTGTAGAAAAGGTATGAATGCGAATGAATATCCTGACAGTGCAAGAGATGTATTTGCCCAATTTCAGTTATATCTTCCTCAGAAATGTAATTAAAACTGGGAAAATACATCCCTTGCGCTGTGAAGATATTCATTGTCGTTTATACCTTTTTCTCCATTTGATACAATGATATTTTTTAGTTAGTATTATAGTCTTTATTAATATTAATATTATCTTTATTATTGTTATTGAGTACCTCCCTAAAATATTAAGATATTGAAGTTGTTATATATCAATGAATATAAAATGTTGTGACAAATATTCTCACAATCATAAGAGCAAAGGAAGTAGGACTTAAACCGGAAAAAGAGAGTTACAGTTGAAACTATGCTGTGTGTTGCAGTGGTAGCATTCTCGTTTAATAATCTTGCTGAAGTGTGTTTAATTCCTTCACTGCCAGTGGGTGGTAACCTCGGCCATTTAGAAGCACAATAAACAGACAGCTGTAATTTGATTGGAGTCACAAGAGCATGTCTCACATAAACCAGAATTTATTATTATTCTTGCTATATATTTTCTGATGCATAGATTGCGTGAAAAAGTTACAAAAAAAAAAAAAAAAAATT